CCTACCGATCAGTTATATAAGTAGAGCTGTACCGATGGCCGATATTTTCCTCATAACCATCAACCGGTGCCGATTGTGGCCTGCAGATGAAATCGCCTACGAACTCTAATGGGTTTAATTGGAAGCCATCTGATAGCCTGATAGTGACAGAAAGGACTGTCAGTGGTTAGCTTGCAACCCATTGCTGCTGGTGAAAGCATTTGGTGACACGTCCCTTGCAACAGCATGACGTAAATGGAGAAGCATTGATTTTCCATATTTATCACTACTTTCCTCCGCCAGTTCCTATAATCCGACTGGAAAATAATCCGATCGATCCTTTTGTCTGGGAGAGGCTGGCAGGAGCTATCAACGAGACAGGAGGTTTTTCGCTCTGCCCGTCCTTTGTCCGTAGGCCGATACATGTTTACTCTCTGGACATATGAATCCATGATAGCTCAGGCTTCGCTCTTCCTTCAGGTCCCAGTTTGCTTCCACTGCAACATTCTGGAAAATGGCAGTTTCAAAATAGTGTCCCCTTATGGGTTCCAGGAGTATTCGTGGAATACTATACCAGGATCTTCTTGGCCAAGGAAGACTCCAAATTCCTGGTGATGATGGGATCAATTCTCTCGATGAAAGCTTCAATAATTTGGGGCTGTCTACCCCTTTCATCCAAGGATCCTTCTAACTGAACCACAATTCCCTTGAAAAGAAATCAAAGAAAATTATTTTCAAAGTTCATTCTTGTTACCGAAAGCGAGATATTTTGATTGCAAAAAAGAAAAAACTAAGACCTTGAAGCGATCCAGCTGGAAGTGAAGCCAGGCTTCAAGGATGGTACTGTGGTGAAACTGAAAAGGTAAGCCAGGAAGGAGTAGGGTCTCCCAAGCATTTACTGCTTTTTCCATGCATAGAGACTGGTTGGAATCCTCATAATGATACAGGTTCTCCCAGTAAGAATTCCAAGATAGCGGTTCCTCCTCTGCGATGCATTCCAAATCGAGTCTCAGTTTCCCAAAATGATTTCATCTTTCCAACAAAAAAGTTTCCTCAAGATTCTTCTCTCTAACCAAGTGGATGCAGATCAAGAGCAACCTTGTTGAGGACGGTTGCACTGATGGATGGGATGAACTTGCGAGCAAAGAAGGCAGGCCTGGCTCTGGCAGAGAGGATCTTCTGGAGATGATGAAGGCGAAGGGCATTGGGCGAGCAGCCGCACCAGTCCACCTCGGACTTATACTGGCAACGACAGCCCTTTTTCCGGTCCCAGTTCACCAGCCTGAGATGCTGGTCGAGGCGGGTCTCGCACAGGGGTGAATTCCGCAACACGACGTGGAAGAACATCTGCAATTATGACAATTTTCAACAGTGCAAGAAATGCCACGGTATGATCAATACTTTTGTGTTTGGGGCTGACTTCAGAAGGTAAGAGAGCATAGGTGAAGAACTCAATCAGGCCCTTGACCATTGGGTCGTGCATCCGCTCCAGAAGGTAGCAGACAAAGTGGTGATTGAGGACGAACCAGTCGGAACCACCATCGAGAACTATGCCCTGTGGCAGGGGGCGCTGGGCAAGGCGCCACATGTGATCATCACATTGATGAAACAGCCAATCAAGGGCCTGCTTCTTGAAGAACATGTGCGCCTCCTGGCCGTGGGAACGCAGGAAATTTTTTCCACGGTTTAGGAAGAGAAACTCCTCCAGATCTTCAAGTGGCCTGGAACAGCAAATTCCCTTTGTTTCCCTCATCCTACTAAAAGGAAAAACTGATCACAACTGTCTCAACCTGATGGGAAAGTCCGTTTCACTTAGATTGATCACAAAATCCCATGACCAGTTTGAAGGGAGATTTCCTAAGGAACGAAGATGAGCTTCAAGCAAGTTGCTCCCACACCACATGGTTCGCACTCGATCATCTGTTAGGACTACATTCTCCAAAGGGTTAGCGACTAGCATGGCCTTCAACCCTCGATGCAGGTACTCTGCTCTCTATGAAAAGAATAATAAAGAGGTTTAGCATAATGAGAAAGTCTATTAGTATTCAAGGACAGGTGCAACAAAAACAACTCTTGAGCACATTCAAACTGACCTCATCAACATGAATGAAATAATAATGATGAGGTCGATAGAGGGCAGATAGGAGACGCTTCACTTGCCTCAACCCCCTTCCACTCCATGTTAACAAGAATGCAATCTTCACCTTCCCTGCTCCAGTTTCATCACCATATACATCAGGCTTCTGGGGCTTCTCATACTGTAGGTCTGGATAGAAAATAAAATTCTGTGCATATTTTCAAGAGAAACAAGGGAGGTGCCCCTGAGGCAGGACTTACAGGAGATGCCTGTCTTATAAATATTCACTGTGAAGTAACCTCCACATTTGTCAGTGCCAGTGGGACATAGCATGTTACATGCATCTTCTGCCACTTGCTTCCCTTCATCTGGTTGACTTCTTCCACACCAACATTCTTTTCTGCAGTCATATCAACAGAATGTTGTAAAAAATTGATACACATAATGCATGCAATTACTATTTCCCAAATTACTCCTACAATATTGATGCCAGAAACCTGAAATTTGGCATGGGCCCACAGTAATGACAAACTTGGAATGTGTTGGGATTGGTGTAGAGACCTAATAGGCAACTGCCATCAAATTTTCAGAAAAGGGAAATTTCCAATTTTTCCATGAACAATCTACAATTATTTTGAGTGCTTACTTTGCTGTATTTCACAGATCTTGCCCTTGATCTTTGCTGTTTTCATTCACTTGTAGACTACAACTTCAGGAATAAAGTTGAATTAACCAGACTCTTTCTTTGTCAAAATTCCCTGTCTCATGGACAAAGGGTGACATGCACCACATTGATTTAGGAGTTAAACTGATTTGATTCCAGGTGAATATGTGACATGTACCAAATGAAATCAGCTTATTTCTCTCTTAAACTAATCTTCAAAGATAAACCTGGTTCCATAGCAGATTTAACACCCTAAACCAGGGATCTCAAACTCGTGGCCTGCATGCAACCTGCAAATGCTCTCAACGCACCCTGTGTACACCAAGAGAGAACATTTTCAGGCCCAATATACACAATCGAAGAAAACCTTGAGTATTTTTCACTTTGGCTTGCAGAGAGGTCTGATCTTGACTATGCAGCCCACACATTGAAATGAGTTTAAGGCTCCTGTCCTAAATGGATTCTCAGAGGTGGAGAAACAGCAAGCTGTTTGTGGAAATGGAAACTAATGAAAAGGTAGAAGTTTTTGTTGTGATTCTGAACCAAACTGCCAGGACTATTAGAGACTGAAAGACAAAACCTTCTGAATTAGTTTCCATTGACTCAATCCTCTTGAATGGTTCAAAGGACACTGTTGCCGACGAGGTGCAGACAATAGAACAGTAGCTGGCACAATACTCATCATTCCCTTCCCAAGTGCAACCACACCACCTTTAAATGTGTTCATGGAAACTAATCTGATTTTTGGTGGTGCATGTTAAAGGTTCTTAAACATGTTTAAAACATGTCTTAGTGTTAATCTTGTTTTTAAACTAATCCAATACCTCAATTGGTCCAGTCACCTTATATGTCCTATTGCCTTTATGCAAAGGCTATAATGGTGCTGTCCTCAAATGTTGGTGAACTAGAATTAGTTCTGAACTGTTACAGGGATAATCTTGACTGAGTAACATCAAGTTTCATAAATCCATGAAAGCCCATAAAACCCAGACTCATGGATACCTCCACTTCAGGAGATGAAAGAGTTTGGGAGAGAGGAGAGGAGAGTTTGGAAGTTTGGGAGAACAAAAGTACTCCATCCACCAATAACAGATTGTCCCAGAGGTCATTACTGTAGTCCAAAAGTGTACAATGGTTGTCTGTAAGGTGTTAAAAGTCTGCGTTTGCCAGTATGGTGGGAGGATTGGAGCAGACAGAGTTTGCCAAAAGCACTTGGGACAAAGGATGATATGACAAGCAATTATAATTCCATGTTCAATGTAGTTTATACATCTCAAAATTTGAGTGACGTCAACATTTCTAGCAAATATTGTTGTCCAGGACTCCTCACTCATTTGAAGTGAGTGGGGTTCCAAGTGGGTGGGGGGAGAGTGAGGATAACAAGCAATATTGATAACTAAGAGAGGCAAAGAAGGGTAGTTCCTTTTTACCAGCTTCTCAATAGAGTAGAACAGGGCAGAAAAAATCATGGAGGTTTTGGCTCATGATGTTCATGAAAAAAGGAAAAGGTGCCCAACACAGGATAGAGTAGGGTACAGGAACCTTTGAAGAAAATCTTATATCCATGCACATCTTCCAAGTTGGATTCAGTCAATTCATTATTTTTGTTTACCACAAAGACTAACATAAAAATTGAGCCAAAAAAAAGGTGATGAACTGGATAAAATAGTGATGGAGAGCCATACAATCACAAGCTAATACCTCATATCAAGGTAGCCTAGTATTTTTCCAATTCCTGAGTGACATAATGACCAATGGTGGAAGGTTTGTGAAGGTAACTAATGTGCACCAAAATCTAGTTTCTCCAATCATATTTTCACTTTCTGAAGTGAGTGCAAGAAAAAATGTATACTTGTACAAATCCTAATATCCTGTGAAAAATTAGCTCAAGTTGCTTGAGTACCCCACAATCATGGAAGACTTGTTTCTTAACTAACAAGATAGGCTGGCTCTCACAATTCCACAGAGACAGTGCAAAGTACATTTCCATAGAAAGATTTTATGAAATTTAATAGGTAAGCTATGGAGAGCTTCTAGTGAACTATCCAAATTTGCCTGCCCAGCTTAAAATCCTGGCTGGAAATAGCTATAATTTCCAGCTGGATCCTAGCTGTAAATTCGGACTCTAGGTAGCAGCTGGAAAGTAGTCAGATTCAGATTGGTTCCTAGTTGCAATATCACTAGCTGAATGAGAATCTTTTTGTTGAATGTTTTTGTCAGAAGTTCAGAAACAGAAACAACTGAATTTCAATTGTAAATTCAGCTGTCAGGTCCTCTATATGAAATTCTAACTGGAAATTTCCAGCTGCATTCCAGCTATAAACCAACTGGGATCTACTATTTTCCAGCTCTTTGCCAGCTGGATATGGTCAGAATTTACAGATTTAGTCCAGCTGGAATATTCCAGTTGGGATTTTAAACTGGGTGTGCATAGAAAGTGCAGAAGATACCACATTCCCAGTGACAAAGGTGGACATTGCTCAAGGTTGAATACAAGACTCACGAATATTCAACACCAGCATATGGAAATCCAGCTTGGAGACAATATGTGATGCAGGCTGATGGAGAATTCCCCTGTCCCAGGTTTCCCTTGGTCCCACTCAAGATGCGAGACTTCCCATCTTGAAAGCAGCCCATGTACTGACCCTTTATCCCCTCAGCATTGTACTCATCTAGCAAACAGATTCTTTTCACAAAATTATAACAGCAAAGAAAGATGGTCAACAGACATACACACTTACCATTTGTGTGGCACTTAGACTGGAAGTTGAATGGAAAAAGATCACCCTTGAGGAACTGACAGGTGATGTTGAGAATTTGCCTTTGACAAGCTGCACTGGTTGCCTTGTGAACTGCATCCAGTGCTCTTTGCGTTGTCTTATCACAATGTGGTTCTAATACTAACTTAAGACTCTTTGGGATTGGCAGCAAATGGTTGTTGTGTATTACCTGTGAAATGGAAACATGTTGTTAGGAACATTTTAAAAGCATTATTTTTCACACCTCACAATGTGAAGAGACTCACATCCTTAGGGATTTCCTTGTTGTCTGAAATGACACAAAGGATGTAGCTGAAGTATAAGATGATTCCTGCCAGAAGCATCCACCAGGTCAAGATTTTTCCCCATTGCCATCCATCCTCCCTGGTTTTCTCTTTGTTTCCTGTCTCTTTCTGACTTGCTCTCTCGTGGTTTCTCATCACCCATGTCCCAGAGATCCCCACACTAGGCTTCCCAATACATTCTGTAGAGATCAAGGGTATCATTCTCTACTGAACTCCTCAAGAAAAGCCTTTTAATTTCATCAAGATTAATGGTGAAAAGAATTGTTGTAGTGCTGGTTTTAGGATTATTTGGGGCAGACTGCACAGCTGTGCAGAAGCATTCCTTTGCTCCATCCCCAAGCCTCACACCAAAAAAGCTCCAGTGACAGACAGATGAGATATCAATATTATGTAGTTCCTCTTTATTCAGAGATGAATCACGGGACAATGCATAAATCATATTTCAACAGGTACAATATCTGTTATTGCCATTGGCACTCAAATGATGTTGAGTTTACAAGACATCACTAACTTTGCATCCCAAAAATCTGGCAAAATGGAACACAAACTTTTCCAGCTGAACACACTGGAAAAGAGAACTCAGGACTTGGAAGGAGACTTCTTGAGTTTTTCCAAGAGATCCTGAGGTGTGGAAACTGGGAGAGAACATGTAAAATTGGAACAAATATGAGCCTCTACTTTACCATTCTCCTTAAGTTTCATGTTCTGCAGTGTGGATGCATTCTTATAGAGAAAACTGTCTACATTCCCATCGGCGATGAGAATGACACTATTGGGGAGAAGCTGCAAATTCACTGCCCTCAGCATCTCTCTCGTGTCCTCTTGCTCAGGTTTCCCAACGATTAAGATCTAATGGAAACAGGTGAGTCAGAGGCCAGAATATTACAATCTGGATGGAACCAAAAATAGACAGATGCATATGAGTCAGAGTAAACTTGAGCACAAGTCCCAATACCTGTGTAGGGGACTGAATGTACATGGCCAGGCCAGCTGCCATTTCTGGCAAGGCCATGGGAACCTTGAGAAGCCGTTCTGAGAACAGCTTCAAGATCTCTCTTGCCTTCATCAGATAATCAGGTCTGTCAAAGGAGCTGGACAAACGAAGGAGATTCCTCACTGAGACTGAGTTGGCTGATGGCTCTGCCCCATCTTGATCTGTCCAGGATGTTTCATATTTAATACCTTAAATTCAATTCAACCACCATAAAGAAATTATAACTTTTCAGACCATCTTTGAGCCTGAGGAGGATGCTTGGATCTAGTGCTGTGGTACTGAAGTATCCAGACTCCTTTTCATCCCAAAAAAGCTCATCCTGCTTCTTCTGAAGTAAATCAGCCCATTCCAGCCACTGGGGATCATAACAGGCTTGGTATGCATCTAAAGCTGCCCTCACCACAAATGTATAATCATCAAGGAATCCCTCAATCGGTTGTTGTCTGAGAAGAATAAAAATGCATCTCTTCATTGCCTCATTAGAGCCAAAAACATGATAAATACTATGTAACCCTTACATCTGCACAACATCTTTCTCACTCCCTCTGTAACAACTATGTAAGAGGGTTTCTGTTTCGGGATTGTAGAGATGCTTTTTGAGAAACTTGAGAGCTTTCAGGCCACGCTCAATGTATGATTCATCATCCAATGCCTGACCAGCTCTTACAAACCCTGAGACCATCAAACCTAGGGTGGAAGGGCAAGAAAGTATCAAACATTATCATTTCCCTGTAATACAAGTGACTATGACATGCATTTTGGTTGAAAATGCAAACCAATCCATCCAGTGATCATTTTGTCATCAAGATGTGGTCGAGGTCGTTGCCTTCTTGCTTCAAAAAGGATTTTCCTTCCATCTTCAAGAGCCTTCTTTAAGGTTGACACATCAATCTTGAAATGTTCAGCAGTCTTCTCTTCACTCCCACGGATAATGAGCACATTCTGCCGCTTCAGTTCATCATGAGGGTCCTGTATCAACAGAGGGAGACTTTATAATGCAAAACTCACTCCTAAACATGGGAGCATGGCAAAAGAATGAGAACAGGCACCTTATAAGGATTAACATTACCATCCTTCTTCACATCAAAGTGGTGGCAGATGATGTCAGCCAGACTGATTTCCTCATGATTGGGGATTTTCTTCTCTTCAAGAAGCGTCTGAATTTCCTCCCATGTCCATACACAGAATGCTCCCTCTCTCTTCTTAGGGGATCCTTCAGTTGGGTATGAATCTGCATCCTCAGCTGAGTAAAAACCTCCAGACTATAAGAGTATGTATATAAGTAAGAGACAGGGCTAAGAAACAATGGGAGTTGATTATTTTCACATTCTGAAATGTACATACTGGGTCACTCAGGTCACGCTGAACATACTCCAAGATGTCCCGAGCCACATTTGCAAAGAATTCATCCTTTGAAGCCAGGTAGGCATCTACATAGGATACGGTCAGCTGTCCTTGGTCATAGAGCATCTTCTCAAAGTGAGGCACATGCCACTCCTCATCAGTGGAATACCTTGCAAACCCCTGACCAACACAAATGTAATATTTTACATGCAAAATTTTCACCAATTTCCAAGCAATTTTCCACCTTTCTCAGGCACTCATGCACTGTATGTTCTTCATGCATGCCTGCCATGACAAAGTATAACCACTGTATGAAACCATCAAAGTCACTAATCACCAAACAACTCTATTACAGGCCCTTTCAATTTACATAAATTCCAACACGTGCTTAGTACCATTTAGAATTTTACTCTGCATTAGGCATGCACTTATACCTTTACTAGGAATTGTATATCTGTAGGTATCACCAGGGATAGTTTCACCATCTGCTGATTCTGTTTATGTCTTTGACACTTGGTTTCACCACAGCAGACCTCCCACTCTCTCTAGATCAGCTCAATCTGAGAGGCTCATGCCTTCCTCAATGAGAAAGGCACATGACCCTGTCTCTCCTTTCAGCAACTCAATGTCTCCTATCTCTTTCACTGGTCTTCCAAATATTTTACCCTAGATCAGTAACTGTCCCAGTCAAAATGGTTGTTGTGTCCTCACTTGTATTTTTTATTTTACCATAAAAACATAAGGTACACATAACACATACTTGGATCAGTGCATCCCAAGTCCATGTTGCATTATGAATGTTTGAGGCAATGTAACAGAATAGGTTTTACTGAGCAGCGATTCTGGCAATGATGAGAATTAAAACTTGAAAACTAAGTTTAATTCCATTACTGGCTGGTAGAATCTGAGAACATACAGGAGGCCTAATGACATTCAAGGGACTCACCTTGGCAACATGATCATGGATTCCACCCTTGGCCATACATCTGAGAGAATGAAGGGACATTTCAATGGCATGTTGTTCCTCTCCACTCCCTTGGTACATGTCAGCATATGCAAACAGAAAGTTGAAGTTTGAGGGCTGGGGAAACTTGGGCTCAGACCCAAAACCACCATGCACGGGGTCATAACGTCGTGAAAACTGTTCCATGCATTTCATCAGGCCTGCTTCACCAGGAACTGTCTTCGCTTTCCCTTTCAGAGCTGTCCCAGAAGAAAGGGCCTGAATGAGTTTTTCACCAGATTTCTCGAAGTTGTCCTTCTGTTCATTCCACTGCCAATTGATCAAACATGGTGTTGGCATCTGATTTGAATATAACTCCAAGCATAATATAAATTAGGCAAGATCAGCACCTTTTCAGCAAGACTTTGCAAGATGCTGGTAAAGCCAGGTTGTCCAAAGTATCGGTCAATGGGAGGGAAATAGGTGCCTCCGTAAATGGGTTTCAGACTTGGAGTCAGCCAGACACTCATTGGCCAGCCACCGCCACCTACAGTTGCCTAAAATAAGGTCAATCACTGCACTGCTACCAAAAGACACCAAAGAAATAGAATGAAATGCTTACCTGGATGAATGTCATGTACACTTTGTCAACATCTGGTCTTTCCTCCCGATCCACTTTGATGTTCACATAATGTTCATTCATGATCTTAGCAATGTCCTCATTCTCAAAACTCTCATGCTCCATCACGTGACACCAATGGCATGTGGAGTATCCCACAGAAAGGAAAATCAGTTTCCTCTCATCCCTTGCCTTTTTAAAGGCCTCCTCCCCCCAAGGATACCTACATAAAAAGAATTCACAAGATTATTCCTAGGGATTATCGGGCTAGCTAGTCTTCCAACGTAAACATACAAACCTGCAAACATTCACTGTTATATTGTCATTAGCTAGAATGGGCCTTGACTTTTGGCATATGTATTGTAATGCCAATGGAGGCCTTAGTAAAATAACTAATAAAAAGAATATGGTGGCATAGTGGGAGCTTATTACATTGTAATGAAGCATGGTTACTTGGTGCCATTTGATGAAGGAGTCCAGTCAAGTTCCAACAGTACTTCTGGCCTGCCCTGCAGTAATAAATTGTCAAAAAGGGCTAGTGGAAAAGCTGGTAACTTTCCCTAACTGAAATGGGTTCAGACCCTCATCCATACCATGGTGGGCTCAATGCAAAAAATTCTATTGTGAATCACCATGCTCATGCCTTCACTTTTGAAAGGTAGTGTACATGAACTTGTCAGAAGTACCAATTAAAGGCCAATTGTTGACTGAGCTCAGTTTCTTATCCTTCTCACTTTTATATTATGCTGACCTCTTAATACACTTTTTCTTGAATCATTTTGGTCTGCCAAACCATATTCCCTGATTCCCATAAGGAGAATGGAACTTACCAGTCAACAGGATTATGTGCATGCTGTAGTAGGTAAGGAGACTTCTCATGTGCCAAGCGATTGGTCCATTTGTGCACAGAGGCTCCTTCACTGGGAGATTCTGATGCCATCCAAATGCTCCCAACTGATATCTTTCTGATGACCCCTGTCCTATGGTCTCCAAGGAAAAAACAGCATTACAAATAAGCCTCGCAGTACACATGCCTACTCAGTGATTCTCAATTGAGGTCACTTGACTTTGACAATATCATTACATGTTCAGCCCCTAATGACAATACATCTTTACTCAGATGAAGCTCACATTTTCTCACCTCTCAATAAAAAAAGGCTTGAAAGTAACAACTCACAATGAATGACTAGACCCATGAAAATGTCACTTTCAGACAAACAGGAAGGAGCCTTGCCAATCTAAGACATGTGGTTTGTCTGATTTGTGTTGGCAAGTTAAGCAATGGACTATCTAAAAGAAAATATGTTTTAACGCTCTGAAAAGTTGTCAAACTCAATTGAAAAACACTGCAAAAACAACGTTAGCTCCAGGCCTATTCCTAGGCTTTACCTATAAAAGTGCTGGGCTGAAAATCGAGTCTAAACGTTTACAGTACTATTAGCAAATGCTAAGGTATAATTCGGGTATCTTAGGCCAACCTTGTCCACTCACGATGATCGAGGTTTCAAGCTGTTAAAAACCAGTGAAGGAATGCATCGAAGCGATAGGCCAATGTGGAAGAAGGCTGAGTGCATCGACGTGGAAGGTCACCGGGAAGCTCGAGATTTCATACGAATATTCGCAGGCACTTGAGAAAAAACCGACGAGCATTCCCTGCACACAACCGATGAGACTGCGGGAAGGCGGCCTGTAGGAACCAGCTGAGCCATCCGGAGGCCTCTATCAAAACGTGTCGCAAGAGTTCTATCGCAACTTTCAACTCGAGCAGTGGCGGTTGCAATCCCACTTCTCGAAAACGAAAAAACCATGAAAGTTTTTTTTTTTTCCTTGTTCGTAACAAGATCTGACGCGCGCCACAACTTCAACGCCAGACAGATCCGTCAGGGTGTTTCACTTGAACATTGCATGCCTCTTCAAAAATAACTCAATTGGTAATTGCAATGGCATCTTTGCATTGAAAATGGATTCTGAATTTTTTTTTAACTTAAAACCTGTTCATTAAACTGCAAAAAAAAAAACTTTTCTCGCTTGTCATGTCGTTAGCGACAATAACCCCAAGTGACACAGCATCTGTTATCCCTCATTCAGCTGCAAGAAAACTGACGTGGAACCAGTGGAAAATGGAAATGTTCTCTACAGAGACAGTTGTTTAATTTCCATTGGCCCGCCTTCTGAAATGAACGAATAATTCCAGACATGCACTAAAAGAACCCATATTGATACATATGTTCGACGTATTTCTAATAAAACATTGCCATCACGTTTTGCGCCGTGTCATCGTCACGTTACACTGGTTTCGGATTGAATTCCTAACAAATTTCTTTAAAGGTTATTTTTTAGCAGTGTGCATACTAACCTTTTGGCTGCTATTATTTTTAATTAAATAAAAATGTGAGAAATCTCATCAATTTTGATTTCTGCCTGATATTTATTTTGTACCAAGTTGAATCACTTCGGTTGAGGTGCAATCAGATCACCCGATCGGCGGCGAAGCAAAGTCGTCAGTCCGGGTGCATTTGATTTATGGGGAAAGCGAAACAGAGAGCTCAGAACAGGAGACTTCATTCCGATGCAACAGTGAATCCATACTGAGATTTCGACAGACACAGGAAAAACGAGTGGCCGCGATCGCACGTCTGGCTCTCGCCTCGAGGCAACTCCGACCTCCCCCACCTCCTCGCCAGGCATGCACAAATCCGTCCGTTTCTTCAAAGAAATACTCAACCGGCGGAATTGGCCTATTCGGCAGAGCGTCCGCGTGCCGTCCGGGAGGCTGGGTTCGATCCCAGCCGGGCCCTACCCAGGCTTTATTGGGTACACACCTCTTATTCCTCCCCGGGACTTAGACGCTCGGTCCCCGGTATTATCATCGGGAGGAAACGAGGTGTGGGAAATACTTGGGCCGATCCGGCCCATTATTTCTTGTGCTTAATTGACAAACGTTTTATTATGTATAATTCCATACTTACTTTCTGGCTCAATCGCAATTCATTAATTGACGACGTATTTATATAACGTGATTAATTCACCACGCGGTTTTCGCTCATGTTGCCCCGTGGGAAAAGGAAGAGAGGAGGGGGCTGCATCGCTCGGAAGCACGCTCGTAGAAGTGGTTACATGGTTTACAGAGGCTTTCTGGCAAAATTTGCAAATTTCATCCCAAACATAATGAAATAAAATTCTTGAGATTTGCGTTATTCGGTTACGCATTCCCGGAATGATATTTCTCATCATGAGTCCAGGTTATTCAATATCCAATCTAATAATCCAAGTCATCTCCCAGTGAAATTGTTTATTCATACACGTGAAAGGATGCGCAGTCAAGATCACTCGGCAATCTAGTAAAGATTCATCTAGTAAAGAGAATTCATATTGATGGCTCTGAGCCAGGGGCGCAATCCAAGGGGGGGATTGGGGGGTCTGAACCACCCCCCCCCCCCCCCCCCCCCCCCCCCCCCCCCCCCCCCCCCCCAAAGCTCCCACTCTCTACTTGTCCATCCCCCTCTTCCCCCAGGGGGGACGCAGAAAGATATGATGAGCAAACGACCCAAGAGCGGGGCTGGAAAGGCACAAAGATAGGAGGTGAAAGTCACGCCAGTTACACGTAGCAACTCACTTTAGTAAAGTGAACCAGTCAAGGAAACGTCCTGCACATGTGACGCTACTGAATTTTTTCATGAAAAACGGAAGGACGACAATTCAAATAAAAGGCGTGAATCGTACAGGTTAATGAATTTCTAGTTGCACATCTGCGCAGTGATTTTTGAATTAAATCCCGAAATTAACTTCATTTTTAGCATTTTCAGATATTGAATGTAGTTTCATCATTTAGTGTTCAAATTCCGTTTCCACCATTTCATAACATTTTTCTTCGTTTCATTTTCTGTGTTCGCGCCGTTTCGCGTTTTTATTGAGTATATCTCTCTTGACGATTTGAATAACGCCTTCTTGGATTCAGAGACATTTGAAAGACAGATCATATGAACTTCGACCCTCCCCCCAAAAAAAATTTTTTAGGGCTGGTTGCGTCACTGCTCTGAGCTGGTCGAGTCAAGCACAGAACCCAATCACATGCACCATTCAAGGTTGGACTATCAATTTTTCCATACCATCTAGTGGTCCAAAAGGTTAAGGACTACATTCTACAAGCGACGAGTTCGTTATAGGACGAATTGACGTGTTTAACTTCGCAAAGGAGAAATTTGAGTCTCAAACTCCTTCAAGCACGGAATTCGAATTTAAATAATTTTCTCAAAGGCATGAGTTATTTTTCAACTATTAAATAACAAAATTGTCTAACTACCGGGATTGGACATGGTACAATTTTTGAGGTTGCGTGCGGAAAAGGTACAAAAATATCTAGTGGTGTTACTAATTTTGTACCAGCGTCCTTCACCACCTCTAATTAATGGCGTCTTAGTATTTATACCATCATGCTCGAAAGAGATGACGGTCTGCAGCCGAAGACAGATTGTTTGAGGCAGATAATACGGAAATGCGAAACCTCCTCCGACACGAACGGCCTTGTTTCTTCTACGCTTATAAACATGTCGAAACTGAGTCGAAACCATCGACACCCTTTACCCGAACACATTCACGATCCGAAGAGACCTTTAACGGACGGAGAAGATGCATTCGGCTTTGAGTGCCGAGACGTTCCTCTCGCGCTTCTTTCCTCATCTCATCTTCCTCATCTGCATTCATTTCCATTCCACTGGTACTGCGGGATTTTTTTTTTACTACACCGTTGTACCTGCAACGAAATGTTTACGATTGGGACTGTCATGTCCCAATACTTTTTTTATGCTCTGCACATGTGCACGTCGAGCTCAAGAAAGCCATGTTGTTTCAGGGGTCACATTTTATAACTAAGATGGTATTTCATAACTAGAATAATAAATTACATATTAGGTTTACGTGCTTAATTTTTTGTGAGGAAAGGGACGAATTCACTCCTGTGTGCATTTCTCCACCACATTTTCTGCCATATACATGGCTTCAATCATCAAAATCATCGCTCTACCTGAAAGTTCGGATCGGGGGGGGTCTATTTTAGCATCTCTTTCCACTTTCCAGCAGATGTTCGGCATTCGAGGAAGAAAACTATGCCGCGCATCTCAGTGTGACTTGGGTAATAACATCAAGTCATAACGTACAGAATGTTGCACGAAACTGGCTCAAACATCTGGCTCAAGGGGCGCTACCGACATGACGTCATCATGAACGAGAATCAACAACAGAGGAGTTGCTCTTAGATTCGCACGTAAAGTCTCTGCGTATAATTCATTCCAGGAATGATATTGCGCAAGTGGCACTTGCATCTGTGAAGGTCAATATCTTTACAGCCCCAATCGAGAACGGATAATCGACACTTATCGCAAAGTGCTGATAAGCCAATATTTTCGAATTAATTTATACCTTCCGAGACCACAGTTCTCAATAAGAAGCACCAGCATTTGTGACGTTACGTGACGTCGAAGCCACCAAAAAATCGTTAGTATCCCAGAAGTAAGGAAAGGGTGAATCTCTCATCTACCTTTTTCCATTTAATCACTACCACATGATTCCGTCATTGACACCAACGACAATGAAGACTATTGGTTGTAATTAGATTTCATACGCTTCACAACATATATGGCCTCACTTTCTTGAGGCGTTGTGGTGAAAAGGGACAAATCCACTATCCTAGTTGAATTTCCCTCCTACCTTAAATAATCAGGTACCTTAACCTACGAGGTCTGTCTTTAAATAGGGCCATTTCTTCGCAAGCAAATATTGTTTATTATCCGGATCTTACCTTGCACGAACGACTGCATGAACCAACTCTGGTTGGAGAAAGTTGCCACCATCTCCAGTAGTCTTCCTGCGTGCTGTTACAACATGCAAGTTACCGCAGGTCCAACCAGAATATTATGGCACCTTGGGAGGACTTCCTCACACAATACCACCAAATAGCGATGTTCTGTTGCAACAAAGTAGGATTCTATTGTACTGCTGTCCTGCAATTTAATGGTGCTCCAGACGGTGGACTGACCTTGTATACTTTGCTGGGGGGGCATTTATTTTTGGCAATACAGTATAGTGTGTGTAGGGCATGCGGTACGAAATATGCATTTATGTAAGGGTGAGGCCTTTATCGCCAGCTTGCCTAACATTTGGCGGCGGTCATTATGATCCTATGCATGTAGTTTTGGCATGCCATCTCTGTGTCTGACCATCAGGAAATCCCCTCCCCATCTCATCGTTTCAGGTTTTCCTTCGTCGATTTTTCCGAATTGCCCGGGTGCTCCTGCTGGGGTGATATTCATCAGATCAAAATTGCTAGAGAGATTGGAGCCTTGGACTGATAAATGAATAATGGCAGACGAAGACGTTGCTGCATTGGTTATCGATAATGGGTCGGGAATGTTCAAGGCTGGCTTTGCTGGGGAAGCGTACCCAAGGGCTGTGTTCCCTTCTGTTGTTGGGAGACCAAGACACCGAGTGAGTCCAGGGTTGCAAGTATTCTCCGGATGAGGAATGATACATGGATCCTTGTCATGTTCTTCCGTCCTCCAGGGTATCATGGTTGAAAGGGGGCAGAAGGATTTATATGTGGGAGGTGAGGCTCAGAGCAAGCGAGACATTCTAACATTGAATTACCCCATCGAGAACGGCATTGTTACCAACTGGGATGCCATGGTGAAAATTTGGCACCATGCTTTCTACAATGAGTTGCGCGTAGCTCCCGAAGACTATCCAGTGCTGCTCACAGAGGCGCCACTGAATCCTAAGGCCAACAGGGAGATGATGACCGCGGTCAGTTATTCAAATTAAATTGCGTATATATGCAATCTTATTTTCATTTTTTCTTATTTTTTTAGCTACAAATTTTTATTAAATGTGTGTCGGTTCTAGATCATGTTCGAGACATTCAACACCCCAGCCATGTACGTATCCATTCAGGCTGTGCTATCTCTGTATGCATCTGGCAGGACAACTGGCGTCGTTTTGGATTCAGGCGATGGTGTGTCTCAAGCTGTGCCTATCTATGAAGGCTGTGCCCTTCCTGATTCCATCCTTCTGTTGGAATTGGCTGGCCGAGACATCACTGACTACCTGACACAGATGCTCTTACAGAGAAGGTATAATTTCAACATTGCAAGTGAGTAACATACCAGCTTTCTTGTGTTATACACCTTCCCCCAATAATAGAGAGAAGGAAGAGAGCGCAGAGAGTAGCACCGTTGGTAGCCCTGAGTAATATCAAACCGCGATTTATTCCGTATATATAATAAATA